TAATTATAAAACACGAAAAAAATGAATCATAATATTTTCAAACAACTCATAAAAAGCAAATTTTTACAATTTATAAAAATGATGGATATAAATTAAAGTTTCATTATGTCGTTGACTCGTTTAATATCAATAAATCGAAAACATTTAACGTGAATTGAATGAAATTAAATAGAAACGGGTTATTTCTAAGTTTAAATTGTCAAGCTAAAGGTTCTATTAAAGGAAATATAAGACCCCTATCTCAGAAAAGCATTCGGGAGCCTAATTGAGAGTTTCAGAACTTAGATGTGATACGCTTCGTTGAATTTTGAAATTCAAGGCGTCAAATTGAAATTATTCCGAACCAATAGATCAACAAACTTCAGTGTGTAAATGAAGCATCTGCATGAAGACACCACCATGCATATATTAACAATGTTGAGAACAACTGCCACTATATATATATATATATATAAATACAGTCATCTGTATACATATTTATTTGTTTGTTATATCAGTTAAAAAAATACGTCAGACCTTCTGTACTTTCAAATTAAATACTAATTTTATTCATTAATTTCGTTAATGAAAAAAAAACTCTACTCCGTCAAAAAAATTCTATACTTAATATTATTATTCTGTTATTATTCTTTAATTTATTACTAGAAATTTACACAATTATTTATTTACAGATATTGTCGGTGAAATAAAAAATAATTTTCAATGAAATAGAAAAAAGTGTTAATTTTTTTCCTTTTTTGCTTAAGAAGAAATGTACATATGAATTCTGCAAGAAAAAAAAGGAGAGCAAGATAAGAAGATCGGAGTCGAGACATTTATTTCTTATTTTCAATTTACGAAACTGCAACTTTAATTCCTGAAACACTAATGAACAACAGAAATAAAGTGCAATAGAAAGAATGAAAAGCGTCTTTCTTTGTATATGGATGAAAACTTTTTCTACTAAGCTGGACGTTAAAAAATTGAGATATTTATTTCTTGGAATAAACTCCGTCAGTTTCTTTCGTTCAAACAAGGATTTTCTTTTTTTCCATTCAACAATAATAATAATAATAATAATAATAATAATAATAATAATAATAATAATAATAATAATAATAATAATAATAATAATAATAATAATAATAATAATAATAATAATAATAATAATAATAATAATAATAATAATAATAATAATAATAATAATAATAATAATAATAATAATAATAATAATAATAATAATAATAATAATAATAATAATAATAATAATAATAATAATAATAATAATAATAATAATAATAATAATAATAATAATAATAATAATAATAATAATAATAATAATAATAATAATTTAAATTTTACAAATTGGAAAAAATGAAAGAAAAAATTAATTCAACTTTTTTATTGAAGAAAAACATTTTTTGAATTATTTCTTTAAGTTCTAAGTTAAAAAAATTAAAAATTTAATTTCAATTTTTATTACTCAATTATTATTATTATTATTTCCCTTTTTTTCCATCAACTCTAGACTTTTTCCCCTCATTATTATTATAAAGGAAAAGGAGAAATTAAAATGTCGAAAACTCTAATTACTGTTCTAAATTCAGCGAAAAAACATGAGAACCTTGGGTTAAAAAGTTTGAAAAAGCAAAAACTGGTTCGTTTTGTTTACAGATGCAAACATCTTGCGCTTCACGTAGTTTGAATTGTGTAACAGAGCGTTAACATGAATTCGACCAAGGTGTTCTCAAACCCAGTTATACAAGGGATTAACGCTACAGCGAAGACTGCCATAATCACTTAAATTAAGGTAAACATTCTTTGGTGTAAATTCGAAAGATCAATCATAACACTGTCGAACAATTATATTCCTTTTGGATTGTTTGACTAAACTGTAAAAAAAAAACGCAACTGAAGATTTTTTTTCCTTTTTTTTTGTTAATAAAAAAAAAAGAAATTAAATGTGAAAAGAAACAACAAAGAAATAAACAAGTTCGAAATATGTTGCAAATGACTAAAAAAAGAAATTTTTTCACGAACAAACATGCAAATATTTGTCATAATGCACGCACTAAGATTGTCGCAATCGCGCCAAGCGCACTCTCATATTTTCGCAAACAAATAAATACTTTAAACAAATTTATCTGTGGCAATAATTTTGAGGAAGCAAATTGGTAATAATATTTTAGAATATTTTCAGGTTTGCAACAAAAATTTAATTTTGTTTTTTTCCCTGATTTCCAGACAAAATTTTAACTTTTTCCCTCACCCCAAAAGTTACTGCAACTTCTTCAAAATTATTTTCCACATTTCAATTCAATTATTATTTTCTAGAATTTCTACCTAAAATTCTTCTTTAAATCAATTATTTTTAATAATTTTTCAAAAAGTTCTATCAAATCCATTTGTTTGCAATTCAATTATCGAAATTAAATCGATTGTTCGGAAATTCTTTAATTAAATATATATTAGAAAATAAAAAATTGAAATAATTTGAAAAAAAATCCAATTAAACTTTTTCAAAAAAAAATTAATACTACAGAATTGCTAGTTAAAACTTAAAAATATGAAAAATTCATATTTTCAAAGATTTTAATTTGATATTTTTTCAAAATTCAATTATTTCTAAAAATCCATACAATAATGAATTTAATATTCAATTATTATTTAAATTTTAACTGAAATACATTTTCGAATCAATTTCTATGAGAAAATTCTGCGAGAATTCAATTATTTAAATACAAAAATAAATAAATTATTGAATAATTCAATATTTTTTAAAATTCAATTCTCATAAAGAATTTTATCAACAAATTTTTAATTTATTTAAAATATTTAATTATTTAAATTATTGACAAGAATTTTATGAAAAAAATTTAAACAATTGATTATTCTCGAAAAAATTTATGTAAATTCTATTTTAAATAACAAAATTCCTGTGAAACTTTTAATGTTTTAGAAAATAAAATAAAATTTTCGTGTAGAATTGTATCAAAATTTTTTTTTAAATAATTGAATTCTTTTGAGAAATTTTATTATACTAGATATTGAATTTATTTGGGAAATTTTATTAAAATAGTAAATATTGTAAATCATTGAATTAAGAAAAATTTTTGAAAATAATTGAATTCTTGTGATGAATATTGTTATTTATGAAAATAATTGAATTTTGCAATGAATTTTATTAAAATTACTGAAATTTTAAACCATTTATAAATTCAATTATGTCAAGAAAGTGCAATTATTTGTAACTTCCCCAAAATTCTATTATTATTTAAATTTTAAACTAAAATTAATTTTCAAATCAATTTCTATTAGAAAATTCTACGAGTATTCAATTATTTAAATTAAAAAATAAATTATTTATTGAATAATTGAATGTTCGTTAAAATTGAAGTCTCATAAAGAATTTTATTAACAAATTTTTAAATAATTGAATTCTTTTGAGGAATTTTTATTAAATTTTTAAGCATAATTATATTTTTCGAGGAATTCGATTCAAATTGTATATTAAAAATAATTGAAATTCTCCAATGAGTTTTATTTTTTATGAAAATAATTGAATCCCTGTCAAAAAATTTTATTATTTATGAAAAAAAATATTGAATTATTTTGGAAAATTTTATTAAAGTTTTTAAAAATAATTGAAGTTTTTATAAGAATCTTTTTTAATTTTTGAACATAATTGAATTTCTGCGAAGAATTTTTTTACTTTTGAAAATAATTGAATTTCTGCAATGACTTGTAACTTCTCTGAAATTCATTTTTTTTTGTTAGTATTTTTAACTGAAATTTTTTATAAATCCTTTATTTTTAATAATTAATTAAATATATATTAAAAAATTTAACTAATTTCAGAAAAATTTGAATTATTAATATTTTTCAAAAATCTAGGTTCTTTTTTAAAATTAAATTCATTCAAAATTAAAATTTTATAAAATGTTAAATTCAAACCTTTTGAAGTTTATCTATTTATAAAAATTGTAGACAACTCTTTTAAAACTCAATTATTTTTGAAATATTTAAGTAAAATTATTCATTAAATAATTTATAAGTAATAATTTTATGATAGTTCTGCAAAAATTAAGTTACATATTTAAAAAGAAATTATTGTGAGAAGTAGAAAAAATGGAACATTTTGTATTAGAATTCGTGGTAATTTTATTGTTTATGAGGCAAACAAAAAAGACAAAAAAATTCAGAATTTTTTTTTGCAACTATAGGCAATAAAAAAGAAAAAGAGAAAAAAGAAAAAAAAGAAGAAGAAAATTATAAAAAAGAAAGCAATATAACTAGTTGTTCTTTTTTATTATCTTTTTCTGGTGCAGTTTCTTCTGCTTTGTTATTCTTTATCATTACAATAATAATTATAACACAAAATTGTATCATGTTTCTCTGATTTATTTATGATAATATTTCTTGAAATCTATCCCCTTGAAAAATAAACAGATCTTAAATTATTCTCATTGTAATTGAAACGTCAGTGTTAATTAATGAAAGCTAATAAATTTTTTGTGCAGCAAAGCGACCGTTATTTTCAATTATTAATTCAATGACAAATAATGCTGACGCATGAATTTCAAGTATAGTTTATACTTTCTGAGCTCATTTCTGTTCCAACTTTACATTCGTAACTTTATTTAGTTTATCTAAATTTATCTAGTTTTATACTTTGTAAAAATTGCTAAAATATATAAAATAGATATAATTTTAATTAAAATGAAAGATTTGCTAATTCTGAATTTGATTTTCGTTTCAAATCGGTTCAAATTGATCAAAATTTTCTGACTTTTCCAGGTTTTTTGAATGTTTATAGAATTCCCTGATATTTCCGCATGTTTTCTAGGTTTCCAGGTTGCTTGACAATCCTGTTATTGCAATGCATCAATTTTGATACGTTTCTTTTGCCTCAATTTGATATCCTCAGAAAAACTATGACTCACAAGAGCAGAAAATGGGTGAAAAGGCAAATGAGAATAAAATTGATAAATTATGTAAAGAAATGAACATTAATGACTTACCTCGGAATTACTGGTAGCAACACTTGAGAGATCAGGGGACATGGCACCTGCGGTAGGATCAGGACTTTGAGTAACAGCATGTGTGTGAGGCAGCAGTGCAGGAGCATGGGGATACGAGATGAAATGAGGATGCTGCGGTTTCGGTTGATGAACAGCTGGTCCAGGGGGTGCACTCTGAACCACCATGGGCATTTGTGGGGGTCCAGTGTCAAGAGGGGTTCCACCACCTCCATCACTTCCGATACTGTTGGGTATTCCCGTGTTTAAACCTTCATCCGATCCACGAAACGATTCATGTAAATATTGTCGCACTTGATTCTTTTGCTTCTGGACCACATGATAACGTGTCGGATTCTCCAATAGTGTCCTCACCTGAGCAGCATTAAAAAGCAAAAATTTATTATTATTATTTATATTATTATTAAATGCTACCAAAATTTTATTTTAGTCATACAATTACTACTATACAACTAAATTAAAGCTTACTCTCTAAATATGAATAAGTAAAAACTTCCATGTTAAAGAAGTTTATATACACTTATTTTTTTTCCCAATTTACTTCATAATATAATGGTGGAAAATTGCCAAGGCTGAAGATTAATTAAATATTAGAACAACTCTTATTGCTTCCAAGATTGGTCCAATCTTATTACGACAATCGTGTTTTCCCCTCTCTTTATAGATAAGATAGATGTGTATTGAGATAATAGATTTGTATAATAATTAGACGAAATAATGAAACAATACTTTGATAAAATACTGAAGATACTAAAATAAAAATACTAAAACAGAAATATTAAAATAAAAATACTAAAATAGAAATTTTACTCTCAAAATTCGAATTAGTTACATATGTAAAAATAACTAATAGTTAGAAACTGTTGACTGACTATTTTTTTTAGAAATTCGTAAAAAATAACGAATTATCAGTAAAAAAAAATAACTACTACTAATAAATAAATAACTGAAAAGTAGTCAAATTTGACACATTGAATTGATTGAATTTCTTTAGTTGTAAAATTATTCAAAAACATCAATAACTTTTTTTTTTAAATAAATATTATTTTTCAGTAGCCCAGGTGCGAATTTTGGTCGGCCGCCAGAGTTGGCAGGTCGGGCCCAGGTCGGCCCATCTATGGCTGCCAATAGGTCGGCAGCCAAAGTCGGGCCGACTTTGGTTACTGTTTCCACCCAAGGTTGGGCCGACTATGGGTGCCAGAGTTTAGAGAACCTAATTTTAGTTGGTCGGGCCGACTCTGGCCTCAGTCGGGCCGATGGTCGGCAAAACTATGGCAGCCAGAGTGTAAAAAACCTAATTTCTGTTGGTCGGGCCGACTCTGGCCTGAGTCGGGCCGATGGTCGGTAAAACTATGGCAGCCAGAGTTTAAAAAACCTAATTTCTGTTGGTCGGGCCGACTCTGGCCTGAGTCGGGCCGATGGTCGGTAAAACTATGGCAGCCAGAGTTTAAAAAACCTAATTTCTGTTGGTCGGGCCGACTCTGGCCTGAGTCGGGCCGACCATCTTAAAAAACATTTCTATACTGCCATGGTAGAAATTAAAAGTTTTTGTGTTAATTATTTCAGCTAAAATGGATTAAACAAAAACTAATAAACGTTATCTGATTTATTAATCGTTATGAATTACAAATTTCTTTTTTTAAATTGCAGCTTATAAATTCATTTTTGTTCTTAGGCTTTCATGTAAGCGTAGCGTAATGGTTAGCGTGTTAGACTTCGGTGCGTTAGGTTGCGAGTTCGATCCCTGCGAGCGTTAGAAATTTTAATTTGTATTTATGTATAAGATTGCGTCTAGTGTTAAGATGAATGCGATAAATAAATAAATAAATAATGAATATTAAGATATCACTTAATATCTGTTAATTGTAAAGTTAATAATTTTTTGCAAACGGTCGGCCGACTATTGGCTGCCAAGGTCGGCACGACCATGGTTGCCAAAATGAAGCCGACCTTCTTTCTCATGGTCGGGAAAACTTTGGCACCCCTGGTCGGCCCGACTTTGGCAACCATAGTCGGCCCGACCATGTCAGCCACTGGACGGCGGGTGTTACAATTCGCTAGTTCGGCCGACCTTTGGCTGCCAAGGTCGGCACGACTATCCACTTGGTCGGCGCGACCATGGCCCGACCAACTTTTCGCACCTGGGAGGAATTAAAATTTTTCATAACATAACAATAATTAATTTTTCATAACAACTAATAAGAATATTATTACAAAACATAAAGAAGGCGATCACTCCGAGTCTTCGACTCAGAGTGATAGCCTTCTTCATGTTTTGTAATAATTTAAATTACCATAAAATTTTTCAAAAAAAAAAAATTAATTATTTACAAAAATCCTAATAAAATCCTTCGCAAGAATTCGATTATTTTTTCAAGTAGTAAAATTTCTCAAAAAATTTAATTATTAAAAAAGAATGTTATAAAATTCGTTGCAATAATTCAATTATTTTCATAAACTATTATTTATGAAAATAATAATAATCAATTTTTCGGTAATTCATTTTTAAAACAATTTCTATTAGAAAATTCTAGAAGAATTCAATTATTTAAATTAAAAAATAAATAATTTATTGAATAATTGAATGTTTGTTAAAATTGAATTCTCATAAGGAATTTTATCAACAAATTTTTAAACAATTAAATTCTTTTGACAAATTTTAATAAAATTTTGAAGAATAATTACATTTTTCGAGGAATTTAATTAAAATATTGTATCAAAAATAATTAATATCCTGTATTGAGTTTTATTATTTATGAAAACAATTCAAATTTTCCCAAGAATTTTATAAAAATTTTTCTAAAGTAATTGAATTTCGGAGAAGAATTTTATTATTTATAAAAATAATTGAATTCTTAAAAAGAACTTTGTTAAATTTTTTTAATTAATTGAATTCTTTAGGACGAATTTTATAAAAATCTTTTTAAATAATTAATATTTTTTGAAAAATTTTATGAAATTTTGTATTTTAAATAATTGAATTTCTGTGAAAGTTTTATTTCTTATGAAAATAATTGAATTATTTCGAAGAAAATTATTAAAAATTTTGAAAATAATGGAATTTCTGGAATCATTTATGACTTTTCCAAAATACAATTTTTTTAGTGTTTTTAACAAAAATTCTTGTATCAATCTAGTATTTTTGAAAATTGTAAAAATTATTCATTAAATAATTTCTAAGTCATAATTTTATGATAGTTCTTAAAGAATATTTTAAAAAGAAATTATTGCCATAAATAGAAAAAATTGAAGCTTTTTGTATTAAAATTCGTGGTAATTTCATAGTTTACGAAGCAAACAAAAAAAAGCATTAAAATTCAGAGTTTTTTCATGAATTTTAAAAATTTAAATTTTTCCAGTACTTTTACTAAAAATCCCTGACTTTTCCCTGACTTCCCTGACCTGTTGCAACATGTGCTTTAGTAATAAATTTTACTTTTTACTCTTGAATTAGAAATGTTTTTCGGAAATAGTAAAAAGTTATTCTAGAAATAACAATTTTTAATACTAAATTTTATTTATTTTAGAGGAAATTTTACCAAGTCCGAAGTAAAGCTTACTAATTTTTGCTGAAATCTACTTCGGATATAGTAAATTTTATAGAATTTTAATATAAAAATAGCGTTTAATTATTTTTTCACTTAATTTGAAAAATACCTTTTTTAATCTGAATCCCCTGTTAAATAATAAAAATTCCCTATTTATTTAATATTACTTGAAAAAATCACTGTGATCCTTATAATTCATTAAAATTTAGGTAAAAATAGCGAAAAAAAAATTAAAATTCTTATTTAAAAAATAATAATAAATTGAAAAGTTTATTGGAAAAATATTAAAAAATTAAAAAATTTTATTGAAATAATAATAGAAAATTTTTAATTTTCTTAAAAAAAAATAAAATGTAAAATCTATTACATGGGAAAAAATTAAAAAGTATTTATTTATTTTGAAAATTGAGTTTTCTTTTACAAAACGAAAAATTTCTATCTCTTTGATTTGTAAAAACTGACAATTATTTAAGAATAGTTGTAAAATCCACTGGAAGTAAATTTTGTAATAGTTATGTTTGCAATTTTTATAAAATAATTAAATTTAAGAAGTTTTGAAGTTTTTTAAAATCTTACAGAGAATAGATATTTTTGACTTAGAGCCAACTATAGACTTTTTATTTGTTTTAACTAAATTTTATTTGGTTCAAATAATTTTGTTTGTGTCGAATAAAATTTTTATTTTAAACAAATAAATAACCTAATTGACTCTGATATTCGTTTATATAAATCAAATAAATAATATTTAGTTTAAATAAAATTTTTCTCTGTATATAATTCCTTTGGAAAAATAATAATTATTAAATATCCCTTTTTTGTCTAATTTAAAACAAATAAATTTTTTTTTCACTTCAATTTTTTTTTACTCTTTGCTTTTCAATTCAAAAGCAAAAAGTCAGATACCTATTCAAATTTAGAGAGTAAAAAAACCTTTTTTATAAAATTTCGTTGTAATAAAAATCGAGATTTAACCATATAAAATGGAATATGTACTTTTAGAGATATAATAATAAATTAAGTGATTCATGAAGAATGTGAAGAAAATGTTGTTCGTAAAAGGAGTTAGTCCTGCAATTATTCTATGAACAATTGACAGTAATAAAAATTATTTGCAAAGATGTAATTGAGATAAAGGACCAATGATTAATTTTTCCGCAAAATTCCAAGTCACACATGAATCACAATGAGAATAAGAAAAAAAAATAATTATAAAAGAATAATAATAATATAATAATAATTACTATTCTCAGGTCTAAATTTTATATCATAAATAATATTTTATACAACAGGGAAGAAAGTAAATTAAACAAAAATTTAGCAAAATTACTGAACTCCTACAATATCTATAATCGAAGAAACAAACAAAAAACAAAAAAAAAAAAAAAAATCAAAATCCAAAGATAAAAAATAATGACATTCTATATATTATTGTCGCAGGGATCTTAGAAAATTGGGAAAATACAAACAATCCATAAAGAGAAATTGACAATGTTTCTACCTTATTTTATGAGTTGTTACAACTCGTACAATAATGTTCTTCATCTTTCAAAGGTTTTAATACATGAAATACGACTTGGAAACGGATTCTTTTATGGGAAGCTGGGAATCAGTAACACAATTATTAGAGTGGGACCCTGCGCGATCTTTATATAAGCTCAATAACACATTTCGATCTCAGAAATCTAAACCTTTGGAGGAAAGGCATACTCGTAAAACTTCAATTCAAAAGAACGATAAAAACAAGTTGCAGAAGAAGAACGATAAACGAATTGCAGACAATCTAGATCAAATAATTCTATGGCTCTGGAGATAAGGATATATATATACAGACATATAGTTTCCTCTCTGACTTTTCGATTTTATTAATAGGAAAAGACAAAAAAAAAAGAAAATTTCGTATTTTATAAAACAGAAATAAACTAATTAGATAGTTTTATTTATCGACCAGGATAATTATCTTCTTTTGTGTAAAATGAAAACAATAGAGGTCTTTATCTTCCTGCAAAACAGACATGTTTAAATTTTCAGGTAAGTACATTAGACGAGCTTTTGTGCAACACGAATGTAAAATCACAACGAATATCTTTTGTTTCATATTATATTCTTTATGTAAAGATACATTATTATCACTCCATTTTCTTCTATATTTATTTTTCATCAAAAAATATTTCCAACTCATTTCTTTATATCAATTTTTTTTTGTATTTTTCATTTTTTTATTGGTGTTAAAAAATTCCTTTTCGATTTAAAAATACAATAAATTAAATTAAATTCTTGAGTTAATTGTACAAAAAAAAAAAGAATTTGCAATAAATTAACTTATTTATAAAAGTCGTGAAATTGCTCTTGTTTTAAAACAAAAGGAATTTTTTTCATTAACGATAGTAGTATCAATATATTATTAAAAGGGTTAATTTAGCTCGTTGTACTCGAAACACGTATTGTGTATACCTCCGAAAGGTGAAATTTTTTGAGAAAATTCGAGACCTGCACGTACACATTAATACTGCGCTTCTGGTTTTCCAATCACGAGTTTTTCGCGACCAACAATTCAATTCGGCTATATATATATATACAAAGAGAGAGAGAGAGAGAAATGTCACAATAAAATTCTATTTCGATTCTACCGTCAATCCTCTCGATAATTGTAAAACAAAGCGGAAAAAGTCCTTTCTGTAACATTTTCATAAAATCATTCAATTTATGCCATGATTTTTTTTATCTATATGATTTTTTCCATATAAGTATTAATTAACAGGGTTACGACAAAAATTTTGTTTTTCTTCTGATTACAAGACGGAATTTTGATATTTTTTTCTGACATTAAAAAATATTTTGATTTACTCTCTAAACATAGAAAGAAACAATAATTTTTTTAAGAAGTATTTAATCAGGATTACCACGCTTTTGCTCTTTTCAAATTCCCTGACTTTTCCAGGTTTTCCAGGTTAAAAAACGGAATTTTTCCAGGTTTTTAATACGAAAATTATTCGAAAATATCAATAACTTCATTTTTCAATAAATATTTAATCATTATTATTATTTTTTCATACACTGTAAAAAAAGGGAGTTAAATTTTAACTCCCCCGGGGGTCTATAAAAGTCGCACCCATTGGGGAGTTAAAGCCAGGGGAGTTAAATAAAGAGAGTTAAAATTTCACACCCAAATGCTAACTCCCCATGGAAAAAATAACTCGCGCGGGTGTTGAATGAAGGGAGTTAGAAATTAACTCTCTTTTGGAGTTGATTTTTAACTCGAAAAATTTCACTCCCAACTCCCGAGTCCGTTAACTCCCTAAATTTTTTACAGTGTATAGAAATTAAAATTTTCAAAAATTTCAAATTCAATAACTTATAATAATATTAATTATAAAACATGAAGATATCGATCGCTTTCTTCATGTTTTATAATAATTCAAACTTGCTACTTTGTTACTGTAACTTCTTCAAAAATTATTTCCATCATTTCGATTATTCAATTTCTAGAATTTTCAACTAAAATTCTTCTTTAATATAACATTCAATTGTTTTCATTGTTTTTCTCACGAGATTCTCGATTTTTTGAGACGAGACTCGCTCTAAGTGCATCTCTTTAAGTTAATTTTTTTAAAATAATTTTTGAAAAAGTTCTTTGAGAAGTTTTCAAATTTTTTTTTTACAATTTAATTTTATGAAATTTTGATTATTTTGACAGTCCTCAATTAAAAATGTATAAGAAATTAAAAACTTTAAATAATTAAAAAAAATTCCATTAAACTTTTTGAAAAAAATTAATTTTACAAAATTCTTAATTAAAAGTATGAAAGGTTCAAATTTTCAGAGATTTTAATTTTGAAACCTTTTGAAAATTCAATTATTTCTAGAAATCTACGCTATAATGCTTTTAATTTTTAATTATAATCTAAGATTTTAACTGAAATTTTTTTTTAAATCAATATTTATTAGAAAATTCTACGAGAATTCAATTATTTAACTATAAAAATAAATATTTTATTAAATAATTAAATGTTTATTAAAATTGAATTTTTATATAAAGAATTGTATCAACAAAATTTTTAAATAATTTAATTCTCTTGACAAATTTTAATAAAAGTTTTAAGTATAATTTCATTTGTTGAGAAATTTGATGAAAATTGTATTAAAAATAATTGAAATTCTGCCAAAAATTTTATTATAATTTTTGAAAATAATTGAATTTCGGAGAGGAATTTTATTTTTTTTATAGATAATTGAAATTCTGACGAGAATTTTTGTAAATTTTTAAACATAATTGGATTCCTGCGAAGAATTAAAATAATTTTGAAAGTAATTGAATTTCTGAGACGAATTTTATTAAAATATCTTTTTAAATAATTGAATTCTTTTGTGAAATTTTATTGAAATTTTAGACATTGAAAATAATTGAATTTTGAAAAATTTTTGAAATTAATTAAATTTCTAAGAAGAATTTTATGAAAATTATTTTGAAAAAAATTTTATTGTTACAAAGAATTTCATTATTTATGAAAATAATTCAATTTTTTGAAGAAATTTAATTAAAAATGTATTGAAAATAATAATGAAATTGTAATAAATAAATTGTAGCAAAAGTTTTTTAAATAATATTGAATTTCTTTGCTGAATTTTAATAAAATTTTTAAGAATAATTACATTTTTTGAGGAGTCCATTAAAATTGCATTTAAAATTAAAAATAATTGAAAGTCTGCGATGAGTTTTAATAGGAATTTATGAAAATAATTGAATCCCTGTAAAAAAATGTGATTATTTATAAAAATCATTGAATAATAATTTTAAATTAAAATTTTGTTAAAAATCTTTAAAAACAGGTGAAATTACAGAAATTTTTTTAAATTCCATTCTATTTCCAGGTTTTCCATACCCTTTTCTAAATTCCATACCTTTTTCAGGTTTTCCAGGTTTTCTAGTGGCAACAATATTAATAATTATTATTTTTCTAAAGAAATTACTCCCAAAGAAAAATTTTATTTAAATCAAAAATATTATTTATTTGAGTTAAATAAACGTATATTTGTCTCAGAACCAACTAGGTTATTTATTTGCTGTAAATAAAAATTTTATTCGACACAAATAAAACTATTTGAACCAAATAAAATTTAGTTAAAACAAATAAAAAGTCTATAGTTGGCTCTGAGTCAAAAAAATATATTCTTTATAAAATTTTTAAAAACTTCAAAACTTCTTAAATTTAATTATTTTATAAAAATTGCAAACGTAACTATTCCAAAATTCAGTTCCAGTGGATTTCACAACTATTCTTAAATAATTGTCAGTTTTAATATTTTGCTATTTTTACTTGAATTTTACATGAATTACAAGGATCACAATGATTTTTTCAAGTAATATTAGATAAAAAGGGAATTTTTATTATTTAAAAGGGAATTCAGATTAAAAAAGGGTTTTTCCAAATTAAGTAACAAAATTCTAGAATAACTTTTTACTATTTCCGAAGAAAATTTCTTCATATAAAAAATAGAAAAATTTACCTCAGAAATAATAAAATATACTCTGTAAATAATAATTTTTAACAAAACAAACTTGCGCTGGAAGAAAATTTAAAAAATTTGTACACGACAATTAACTGTGAAAAAAGTCAAATTTGCTATTGAAAATCGTTATTTTAAATAACTCTTACTGAATTTCATGATTTAATAAATAAAACTTTAGACACTGCAGTATAGAAAAAAGTACATTTTTTGAATTTAAAAAAAAAGTTATAAAAAAACAAAATAAAACGCAGCTACCAATTTAAAAAGCAATTTAACCCAAAAATAAAATGAAATGAAATGAAATAAAACTAAAAGACACGAAATAAATGAATTCGCAATAAAAATGTTAATGGTTTTTAATTATTAAAACTTTTTATATACACAACAAAATTCACACAATCTCGGAGTATTTTCTTTTTTTTAAATATGAGAATCCTTTTATGTGTGTGATATAAAAAAGACAAAAAAAAATATTATATCTAAAGTTGTAAAAGAAAAATTAGGAGATGAAAATTCTTCATTACATTAAAATGATACGAGAGATGTTTGTCTCTCTCTCTCTCTCATACAGTTTTTTCCTGATTTTTAAGTAAACATGCGAGAAAGATAAAAAAAAATGTATATATGAGCTGAAAATAAATATAGAAAAAAAGGAAAATAAATATAGAAAAATATAAATATAGAAAGAAAGAAAATATGGGAAAAAAAGGAAATAAATGTAGAGAAAAAGAAAAATAAGAAAAAATAAATAATACTGACTTGTAAAACTTGAGGTGGAACATCGACACCGATAGTTGGTAAAGGTGTTGGTGGTACAGGTCTTGGAGGTGCAGCTGCAGGCCTTTGTTGTTGTAAATTTTGCCTCAATTCAGCCTCTCGTCTCTCTTGTTCCTGCAGTTGCTCTCGCATTAACTGCAGCTTCAATTGTGTACGAGATGTGGGTGTTGCAGTCTTGAACGTTGGAGGACTGAAAAAAACAGTTCTCCTTTAAAAACTCCTTGCAAATTTAAATAATAATCACTAATACATATAAGAATAATTTTTTTTTGCTCTCGATTTTAAATTATTTTTTTTTGCTTTCGATTTTAAAATGTCCTCTGCTTTTTTTTCGCTTTCGATTTCTAAATATTTTCAATTTTCCATTTTTAACTTAACCCAGGGCTCGGATCAACTGAGTCGTCGCTTTAGTCGCATAAATTAAATTCACAACAAAAATCGCGAAAAGTCGCATGAAATTTTAGAAAAAACGATAAAAAGAAGCATGAAATTGTAAAAAAATGTAAAAAAAAAATGGCGAAATGTTAATGGGGTTTTATTAGAATTGAGTGTAGAATGTAACAAAATATTTTAATGGAAATTATTTTATTTGTATAAAATATCAAGAAAATTATCAATCCTCCAAGTCAAATATTAAAATAATACAAACACAATTTTAACGTTTCGACAAATATTCGACAAATATTATTTACAATAATAAAATTTTTCGCAAAAATTCAATTATGATCAAAAGTTTAAAATAATTATCGTCAAAATTTCAATTATCCTTATAAATAATAAAATTACTCTCCAAAATTCAATTATTTTCAAAAATTTCAATAAAATTCTTGGCAAAATTTCAATTATTTTCAAAAACTTTTCTCAATTCAATCAAATTTTTTACAGAGATTTAATTATTTTTAATAACATTTTAATCGAATTTCTCGATAAATGTAATTAATTATTACATATAAATTTTATTAAAATTCGCTGAAAGAATTCAATTATTTAAAAATTTGTCAATAAAATTATTTATGACACTTCAATTTTAACGAACATTTAAGTATTCAATAAATTATTTATTTTTGTATTTAAATAATTAAATTCTCGTAGGATTTTCTAATAGAAATTGATTCGAAATGTACTTTCAGTTAAAGTTTTAGATAATAATTGAATTTTGAGGAAGTTACAAATAATATTGCACTTTCTAGAAATAATTGAATTTTGAAAAGGTTTCAAATTTCAGGAATTTTAATAAAATTCATTGCAAAATTCAATTATTTTCATAAATAACAATATTCATCACAAGAATTCAATTATTTTCAAAAATTTTTCTTAATTCAATGATTTTCAATATTTACTGTTTTAATAAAATTTCCCAAATGAATTCAATATCTATTTTAATAAAATTTCTCAAAAGAATTCAATTATTTAAAAAAAAAATTTTTATACAATTCCATACGAAAATTTAATTATTTTCTGAAACATTAAAAGTTTCACAAGAATTCTGTTATTTAAAATAGAATTTGCATAAATTTTTACGAGAAAAATCAATTATTTAAAATTTTTTTTATAAAATTCTTTGCAATAATTTAAATAATTAAATATTTTAAATAATCTAAAAATTTGTTGATAAAAAAAATTAATTAATTAAAAGTTTCACAGGAATTCTGTTATTTAAAATAGAATTTGCATAAATTTTTACGAGCAAAATCAATTATTTAAAATTTTTTTATAAAATTCTTCACAATAATTTAAATAATTAATTTAATATAATAATAATTTTGAAAAGGTTTCAAAAAATATTTTTTGAACGTTTCAATTTTTCATACTTTTAACTAAACATTGGGTAGATTAAATTTTTTTGAAAAACTTTAATCGAATTTTCTTAATTTATTTTGATACTTTTATTGTCTAATATATATTTGATTGAAGAATTTCCGAATAATCGATGAAATTTCGTAAAATTGTATTCTAAACAAAGGATTTGAAAATTTTCAAAGAAATTTTTGAATAATTATTAAAAAAAATAATTTAAAGAAGAATTTTAGTTAAAAATTCTGGAAAATAATAATTGAATTTAAGTGATGAAAGTAATTTTGAATAAGTTACAGTAACAATATTCTTAAAATATAAATTAATGATTTTATTAGTCGGGCATTTTTAATTATTATAAAACATGAAGATATCGATTGCTCCGAGTCGAAGACTCGGTATGATCGGTTTCTTCATGTTTTATAACAATTTTTTATAAGTTGTTTAATTTCAAAAATGTTTGAATTTGAAATTTTTAAAAATCTTAATTCCTATGGAAAAATAATAATAATTAATTATTTATTTAAAAAAGAAGTTATTGATGTTTTCGAATAATTTAATAGAAAATCGTAAATAAATGTAACAGAACTTTTTTTTGAGTAAAATTTTTTCCTTTATTTTCTAAAAATTTAAAAAGTTTCAATTTCAATTAAAATTTGTAATTGTCAAAATAGATTTTATAAACAATTTTTTCCTTTATTTTTAAAAAAACTAAATTTCATTAAAGTAATTGTAATTAAGAAATAGAAATGATGCAAATTATTTCCTTATGAAAATTGAGAATTTTCTACAAAAATATTAAGAAACGGGAATATGTAATGTTTCTTTTATAAAAGAAAAGAATGAGTTTGTGAACAATATTTTTTTTGAGAAATAAAAATTTTGCAAAAAATGTGTATATTTTCTATTTCTTAATCACAATTTTTTAACAATTAACAATTTTATTTAATATTTTTATAAATAAAAAAAAAGAAAAATTGTCATGATTTAGATCAATCAAAAGAAATTTGTTATAGAAAAAATCATATAATAAACAAAGTGTGGACAGACAGAATTAATGAAAGAATGAAATACAAAGATTATTATTTAGAAGATAATAATAGATAATTTACAAAGAAAAATATTTCTTCTATTTAAAATTTAAGTCAAAAAGTAATTGAAAAATGTGAAGAAAGTCGATTAGTCACATTTTACTCAATAAAATTTTTTATCTTTTTAACTTTTTATCTGGAAAAAGTTGATTAGTCGCATTTTTTTCACCAAAAAGTAAAAAAAAGTCGCATATCCTTAAAAAAGTCGAAAAAAGTCGATTAGAAAAAAAAACGATTTAAAATATAGAATTTTTCGCACAGATTTCCTAAGGATATCAAATTGATACGTTTTGATGCGTTTTGATAAACAAGAAACAGGATATGTAGGAAAATAAATAATAAATGTAAAAATTGTTGTTTTCATTCTGCGTTTGTTGTTAATTTTTCATGCAATCAACTTTCAGTCATTGTGAATATTATTAAGAGATGTTCCCTCGCTCGTTTTAGCATATACCCCCGCAAATCGAGTCTTGATTGCATCAGTTTGTAAACCGTAGCTAGATTGCAAATTGCAGGAGGTTGCGAGCATCTTACCTCAGCTAATCCACCGAGTTGAAATCCCCAAAGTTGTAAAACTATACGAAGGCAAGCGTATTTCCCCGAAAACGTATTAAAACTTTTAACACTCTTATTATACAAAGTCGCAGTGGCCTTATATATATATATATATATATACAATCCACTTTTCCTTCCTTGGAAGAAATTTTTAATTTCTAACGAGACCCTTAATTGCGCGGAAGGGAATCTGTCAGATTTAAAGTCTCAAGGAGTTATTTATTAACTTCGTCCTCAATATTTGTTCCAAATTATTTTCTTTCCTTTCATTTACCTACAAAATTTCAAATATTTTATTTATTGTTAAATTTTTCGTCAATTATTTATAAACTTTTTGAAAAAATACAAATTTAAAATAAAAATATTGAAATAATTGAAACGAATGAAATAAATAAAAATAAATAATTTTTTACAGCATTTTATTATGAAGAGAATATTTTTTATTTGGAAAATACTTCGTATTTAATTTATGTATTTAAACACCCAAAAAATATTTTATCTGCAACAAATTTTATTATCTCAAAACTTTTAGAGGTTTCAGTTAAGACTTTCGCTATTCTAGAAAAAATTATCGCTGTTTCAGGTGAAATATTTTTTCCGTGAATGAAATAAAATGAAATTACAATTAAATTAAATTATAATTCTGTATTTACAACTAATTTTTAAAAGTAATAAAATTAAATTCTTTCAAATATAAAATTTATTTTAATGAAATTTCGGGAGTTCAATAAGCTGATAAAAATTTTTATTACCATTTTTTAAAAAACCTAATTTTTTTTAGAATTTTGCACATTATTCAAAACTTCAATCATTTTTGTTCAAACTAATATTTAAAACTTTATTGATATTTATTTTATAATTGAAATTTCACATAATTTCAATGTAAAATCTTTTGAAATTTAATTATTTCTAAAAATTGCAACCGCAATTTTTCCAAAAGTCAATTATTTTTTAGAATATTTGAATAAAATTATTTAAAATTTTAATAATTTTTAAAGGAAAATAATGTATTAAAAAGTTTTTTAAATAAGCATTTAAATTTTAAATATTATTGTACTTTTACGTCGATTAAAATATTAAAAAGATTTCAATTTAAAAACCTTTTCAAAAATTATTTCTTAAAATTTCTGTTCTAACTTTTCTAAATATTCCATTATTTTTCAAATCTTTAACCTGAAATTCTTTTTTACGTCAATTCTTATTAGAATTCAACGATAATTGCATTATTTAAATAAAAAACTTTTTAATAAAATTTAATTATTTTCCTAATTTTTAGTTACAATTCTTCAAGAAATACAATAATATTTGAAAATAATTCTTTTTCAAATCAATACTCAACAAGAAATTGTAGAAGAATTAAATTATTTAAATAAAAAACTTTTTAATAAAATTTAATTATTTTCCTAATTTTTAGTTACAATTCTTCAAAAAATACATTAATATTTTTAAAAATAATTTTTTAAAGTGAGAAAATAAAATTTTTTGAATAAAATTTTAGAAAATTTCCTATTTTTTCAATTTTTTAAAATTATTTTCCAAAATTGAACTCTTTTCAAAAAGATTAAATTACCTTTTTGTTAAAAACCTAATTTTTTCTGAATTTCTAAATTATTAGTTTTCAAATTTTATTTATTTTTGTTTAATAAATATTTTAATGTTTATAATTATTTATTTGTCCACCAGGAATTATAATGTCAAAATTCTTTCAGTGTAAAACATTTTGAAATTTAATTATTTCTGAAAATTAGAA